TGATGGATTTATGAGATGCATGTGTAATTCTACATTTTAAAGTTGAAACCTTATATAAAATTTTTCCTTTTTAATTTACCTTGGAATAAAGTGGGACTCAGATTGCATGTGCGGTCTGGCTCGTCTTCATTTGTACGGTTGTTTCCCTCTCTTGTCCAATCTCTTACCGTTTATTTGCGATGGACGGTCGATGTAAGCAAGCAATAGGGCATAGCCAAAAATAAATGAAGAAAAATAAAAGAAAAAAAACATAAAAAAAAAGTTAGGCAGGGCCGAACTTTACCCGAACTAGCCCTAGCCTAGCCTAATCCTCATTGCTAGGGGCGGGCCGCCCGGCCCCATTGCTAGGGCCAGCAAGGTGCATGGCTGAATTATGATTACAAGCAGGTAGCAAGCATGTTTTGTTCCCCAGGTAACCAGAACCTGATATTATTACATTCATGTTCACAACCCATGTACATGCACATCATTAGTCTTGATATTTGATGGACGATTATCTAAGAGGTTAACCTAGATGAATTATCCACAATATTTTAAACCTCACACTCTTCTTCTTTTTTTAAGAAATATTTTAAACCTCACACTTGCCATGGAGCTTGAGAATTGCTTGGAATGAGTGGGCTCCGTGGGTCTTGAGTTGTTTGGCGAGTCTAGTACTCATCATACTATATTCTTCTAATGATATCCACCGATTTTTTCGAAGACTCGATCAGATTTGGACAGAATTAGATCAAACATCGATCATCTGGTCTAGCTGTTCTAGAAGCAACAAGGTACCGATTCTGAGTAACTGAAACGAATCAAGTCGAACTCGCCGAGTTCCTTAAGACTGGTTATCCATCAAGCACTTTAGAAAATTTTTGAGGCGAACACACAGGATGTGCACTTTTTCATGGATACAACCTCTAAATTTACTTGCAACTTGCAATATAACATTTCAAAATTTATTATAAATGTCGTGTTTCACCTCTAATTTTTCTTTATAACACTCGTGTATTGTGGCAAACCATTTTTGGATGTGAAACAAGTATTTACATAGATAATTGATATATACTGCTTAGGAAAATCAGCGGACTCCAAATAATTGAGAAAAGACTATAATGATGATAATAGAAGTTAGAAAAATCTATCGGATCATACCTTATAATTAAACTATTAATATCCGGGCTACAACTTCTTATTTAATTTAAATTGGTTGTGGTTTGTACAAAGTCTCAACCTTAAACAATCCAATTAAGGTACACCACCAAATGCTCATTGAAAAATGTAATTTTGATGCCGGAAATTTTAATGATGACTTGAAAAACTAATTCACATCTAATTATGAAATTAAAACTAAAAATTGGTATAGATTGAGCAAATCTACAAATATATAAAAATCTTGAAAATGGACGGTCTAGATAATATATTACAAGATGCATCAATTTTTGTACTTTAAGCTCTCTTCTTTCTTTCTTTTTTTTGTCTACATCTGCATATTCTGAGATCGAGATGATTAATTAAAGGGATTTTCACCATCAAAACAATATTGTTTGATGGATTTTTTAAGGTGTTCCTTTTTTCTACATTTTAAGGTTGCAACCTTACATATACTTTTTCCATTTAAATTAGTCCATTATTCAAAATTTCAAATTTCCATTAAAGATACATTATTATGGGTTTTGAATTTTGTTAAGTCACACCTATTTTGAATGTTGAATGTTAAATAATTCAACATTGAGGTCTAACTTGATAAATTTCCCTATGAAGAAAACATCTTATATTACAAATTCGTTTCTATTTGATATAAGAATAAAACCTTGTTACTAGGTTTGTATTAGAAAGTTCAAGAAAAAATAATTTGGATTTTGATACCTCTAGTGATCCACCCCGTAAAAAACCTGATTTAATATCTAAGAGCCACTCATGATTACAAACTTCTTGTGCGATAGGTACGTTCCATTGTATAGTTCTCACATAAAAGGAAATAAATAAATCAAAATTGCATCATGCCTTGGTTTTTACATGATTTTAATACTAAAATTTTGAACTACTACTCACAAGCAGCTTGCTCACGAAGCATATGAGTTGTGCAAACTTAAGCTTAGAGCATGTTTGGCTGCCGCATGTGTGTTGGTTTATGTTTATGCTTTCATGAAGTGAACAAGCGTCACTTTTACAAGGTAAAATGAGGTATCCAATTATTATAGCAAGGGCAAGCTTCTATGCTTCTCCTACTTTATAAAGCTTATATACGTCTCCCTATCCAACTGTCTAGTCTATCTTGAATGGAGGTTTGGGATGACCCTAATCACAATGTCATACATCTGCATTATTTTATTTCTAATATTTTTTTATAAAATATTTTGACACCAAAGTTTGGGTGTCCACTACTCTCTTAAACTTGCACTTGTAAAAAATATAAAAATAATATTTTCAATAAAAATAATATTTTCAATAATTTTGGTCACTATTTTTTGCCAAAAATATTTTTCTAATATTTTTTTTA